AGGGGACAAGACAACTGCACAGCAACAAAGGGACGATGGATGGGGCAATGTACTGCCAAATCTTGGGTGAGAACCTTCTCCCCTCAGCCAGGGCATTGAAAATGGGTTATGGATGGGTGTTTCAGCATGACAATGAACCAAAACACACGCCCAAGGCAACAAAGGAGTGGCTCAAGAAGAAGTACATTAAGGTCCTGGAGTGGCCTAGCCAGTCTCCAGACCTTAATTCGATTGAAAATTTGTGGAGGGAGCTGAAACTTCGAGTTGCCAAATGTCAGCCACCAGACCTTAATGACTTGGAGAGGATCTGCCAAGAGGAGTGGGCCAAAATCCTGAGATGTGTGCAAACCTGGTGGCCAACTACAGTAAATCTGACCTCTGTGATTGCCAACAAGGGATTTGCCAAAGTACTAAGTCATGTTTTGTGAAGGGGATCAAATACTTCTTTCCCTCATGAACATGCAAATTAGTGCATAATTTGTTAGACATGCATTTCTTTTGAATTTTTTGTTGCTATTCTCTCAGTGGTACAATACACCTACCATTCAATTTTTAGACTGATCATTTCTTTGTGAGTGGGCAAACATTCATCAGCAGGAGATCAAATACTTATTTCTTTCACTGTATGATGGATCCTTCCTTACCTTTAAATGAGGATAACACTTTCTGTTCATTTTTGAGGTCGAAAAAAGGCACGTCTCTCCCTCATAAGTTGCAGAGCATTGTGTTTGATTGCTTTCAGTTATTGTTAAATAGTGTCAAAATCTCTGGGAGGAACACAATTACTTATAGTAATACATTTTGTGGTACCATTTACACCAGTGTTTCAATGGTTTTTATTGAATATTCCCACAATAAATGATCCATAGTAAAACCAGCCAACGCATAATTGAATCAATACCTTTTTAATCATTTGATTTCAGTGACTCTTATTCCTGTATTACAGACTTTTTAAACCAGGGAGCCCAGGCATCCTGGGGTGCCTTGAGGTTTCTTCATTGGTGCCCTGGCAAAATGTCTAAAAATTGCCCAAAACGTGGATACAACCATTGGGTGGAAAAGGCCTGCCTTTTAGCTACACAAAGCCACAGGTTTTCATTATGCACCATTAGGACCTTCTAGCCGCTGGCATCCTGACAACCAATTACATCATCAATTGATAAGGAGGATGTCGGTTGCCTTCACAACATCCTTCTCCTCTCTGTCAGTGCTGGGGTCACATTAACTCAGTAAGGGAGATAAACTGAGGGAGAAGAGAAACACTGGAATACTTGTCAGTACCAGTGTGCAAAAGTATATTTGCTTTGGGAGAAAAAATCCCCTACAATGTTGTGTGTCCTACATGTATAGATGTTGCTGCATTATATACAACTATTAGAATAGTTTTTACATTTTAGAATGGGGTGCCTCAAGACTGTTCATAATTTTAAAGGGTGCCTCAGGACTGTCCACAATTTTAAAGGGTGCCTTGACTGGAAAAAAGTTGAGAAACACTGCTCTATTAAACTCTGCAAGGTCAGGGCAGTGGGCAGTTCTCTGTTGCAGTGGGTCTAGTGTGCAGCCCAACTGCTTTACACTGTGATGACAGTGAGGCTCAGTGGATTAGCCATAAATCAAATTCTCTGGCTTACCTTGTGATGTCATCACAGTAAGCTGAACATAGAGATGGCTTTAGTAAGATCCGGAGCATGCACAATGCAGTGGCAATGTTGCCAAGGCTAGGTGAGCCTGGCATGCATCTCCTCTACCAACAGGAACAGCAACAGGTATTTTCAACATGTAAGTTATTAAAACAAAAAAGTACATATTGTAAAAGTGTTGTTTTGAAGGCTGTAATATGTTTTTGTGGGGTTTAAGGACAATTTAAATGGTTAGTATTGCACCCTAGTCAAATTGCATTTATTATAAAAAAATAATTGTTATTGCGCTAATGTATAGAATGAAAGCTTGCTCATTATTACTACCATTAGATGATGCTTGTATTGATTCCTTCTGGTCAAACCACAGGACCCAAAGTGGACATTATTTTATAGGCCTATTTTAACCTGTATTGAAGGGGTTGCTCTGTTTAAATGAATGTAGTAATCAACCCAGAGCCTGCCAGCAAGTGAGTTAGCGAATAAGCTAACAGTTTTTCAAGAAAGTTAAGGATTCAAGAAAGCTTTGCCAGTGGCCACCTGACAGTGAGTGATATAATGATGGACTGTCACTTTCCATCAGAAAGACCTGACAGCATGTGAGGCTGCCAGTGAATACATAAGAACTGCAATGTCAGCGTGTGTTATAGAAGAACTACAAGTGTATGAATTAGTCAAAGCGTACAGATTAGGTATGGCACATATAGTCTTATGGGATCTGAGCATCATGCTGTCAAAGGCATAAATACACCTACAAGTCCATTTTAAAAGGCAGTGCAAATCATAACAATAATGTTAACTATATATTAACTGCATTGCTTCAGACTGTTCAATTTCCACCAACAAAGTACAAAAACACATATATAATGTCCCAATATATAAACAATTTGAACGTCTTCCAATCAAATGTGCCGTGCTTTAACAAAAAAAGCGAGACTCCTCCATGTTCCATTCTCCATTCACCATCACAGCAAATGCTTACCAGACAAGTGGACCCTTAAGGCATAAGAAGGCAATATGTGTTTGTGATGGTGTAATCCCCATACAAGATATTCAAAGGCTGGGAGCCACCAGCAATCCCGATCTCAGCAAGGTACCGCTCATTCCTCCTCAAGTGTGTCCGGAATGTAAAAGAATAAAAAGGCCCCAATAGTGCAGATCATCCCAAAAGTGTTTTTATTTTTAAATTGCCACATAAAATAGAAATTAATTCACAGTTCAAAAAACAGCACCACTATATTCTACTACATAGTGTGATAACGTCAACATCCAAAGCTCTTCCCTACACGTTTCATCGCTAACTGATACCTGCAGAGGCCAGAGACACTTACTTTACCCCAGCAGTTTATATGAAACATGGAATATCTCTTATCTTGTTTAAGCACTGAACATTTGATTGGAGGTGCTTCAAAATTATCAATATACTGTATTAAGCATTATATACAGTATGTGAATTTGCACTTTGTTGGTGGAAGTTATTGTTGAATATATTTAGGCACTGCAGTTGTTCTACAACTATGATTAAAGTGGTCCTAAAGGCTTAAGGTTTTTCACCTTCATGCATTCTATGCATGAAGGTAAAAAACCTGTAGTGTGAAGTTTCCCCCAACCCCCCAATATTTACCTGATCCCGATCTCCATCCAGCAATGTGCTCAAGAGCAGTAGCTCTCCCAACTGTCTCCCTCCTCATTGGCTCAGACACAGTCAGCCAATGGCTCCTGCTGCTGTCAATCACAGCTAGTGAGGAGGGAGCGGGGGTCAGGGCTGGGACGCACTCTGTGGTGTGTCATATGCTGAGAAATACAAGCAGATACCCATTCATCATGCCCAGGCCCAAACTGGGACAAAAAAATAGGATCAGGCATTTTAGAATGAGGAGACACAGAGGGGGCCCTTCCCTTGGTGGCAGAATGTCAGGGCATGGTTGCGACCCTGGTAGTTCTACCACTGGTGTCAGTAGTTTTTTTCATTTTTATGCTTCAGTTATGAGTGGGCAGAGTCAGTGATCTGTACTGATCACTGACAGTCCATTCAGACAAGGAAGGGGCCGGTAAATTACATATTTACCAACCCCTTTCCTGCTTTCCATCCTGACAGATCCCCCACAGCAGTCGGCGGGAAAGAGGAAGGGGAACCAGGCAGCACTGTGGAGGAGGTGGGTGGGAGAGAACACACAGGGGCCCGGAGAGAGCACAGGGGTACCAGGAAAAAGGACAAAGGCCCAGGGGCAGCATAAAAAAAGATGGATAGGAGGGGCGAAAAACAGAGGAACTGATCCATCCAATTATCTCCTGCAGATGGGTGAAGAGGAGAAGTGGGCATTCAGCGGTAGCAGGAGGGAAATTAATGGATCAGTTCCTCTATATGCTGCCTCTCCTAGCCAGCCACCTCTTTTTAGGACATGTGGCCCAGCGGCCCCAGCTCACCAGACAAATGCCTGGTATGCCCTATGGCCAATTTGGGTCTGATCATGCCATACCTTCAGAGAGGTGTGTGATTAGCCCCAAATGTATTCTGCAGCAGTGCAATGACCCCAAACATACAGCCAATGTCAAAAACTATCTTCAGTAAATAAGAACCAGGAGTCCTGAAAGTAATGGTTTGGCCCCCACAGAGCCCTTATCTCAACATCATGGAGTCTGTCTGGGATTACATGAAGAGACAGAAAGATTTAAGGCAGCCTTCATCCACATAAGATCTGTGGTTAGTTCTCCAAGATGTTTGGAACAACCTACCTGCCAAGTTCCTTCAAAAATTGTGTGCACAAGCACTGTGTGTATTATTTATTTATTTCAGGTACTTATATAGCGCCGTCAATTTACACAGCACTTTACTTATATATTGTACATTCACATCAGTCCCTAACTCTCAAGGAGCGTACAATCTAAAGTAAGCTAAGGTGATTTATATAACAAACAATAACCCCAGCGGTGATCAAATACCACAAAAAGAAAGCTCTATTTGTGCGAACAAATATGTCATTTGAGTACAGTTTTGCATGACTGCGCAATTGCCAGTTAAATTAGTGCAGTGCTGAATAGAAAAAAAGTGCCCAGTTCATGAAAGACCAGAAATGTAATTTTTTTGACATAACCAACCAATAAAAATCTAGAGAAATCTCAGAACTGATAGTCTCGGCAATAAAAGGGAACTTCATCCATTTGAATTAAATTTTATTCAGTGATGTCTCAATCTGTCAAAAAAATAAACAAAACGGATGTACCTGGCTGTATTTTACATCTGCCGAAAAGGGAGCCGAGTCATTCAATGTTTTCTGCAAGATAACCATTTCCTCAAGTTTCTCCTAAAAGACAAGATCTCCTCGATTCTTCCAAAGAAAGACTCCCCGAATTGGATGGAGATTAGAAACGGAGCCAGTACATAGCGCTGCAGATACAGTTGTAGTCGGGAAACTGCTCTACTGGACCAACTGCAGCTACGGCAGGACACTTGTCATATATGTACTTTGAGAAGACATCCCTCAATTCCATTCCACCAGAGAAACGCGCTGGCCTAAAGCCAAGACTTGGTGCCCGATATCGTCACACACAGGGGTCGTGCCATGTGGTTGGGCCACTAGAGCATGTTTCAGTGCCTTCTTTGGCCGGGCCACTTCACCGTCGGTTGCGCTAGTGCAAAGACGCATCCATTCTGTCAGGGCTCCGGGTATGACCAGAGGTGTGTGACTGACGCAGGGAAACGCAGGCTTCAGATATGTTATAAACAATAAGACAATTTATTAAAGACTAACAATACAAACATAAACGCAGTGCAATACTAAAACATAACACAGTGCAAACGAACCAAACCAAACCACCCACAGATAACAATATATACAATGCAAGCGTCGTCAGGCAGGCTGGGTCAATAACAATCGGGCAGGTAGGAACAGGGGGTCAGGCAGAGAATGGTCGGGGTCACAAGCCAGGGATGAAACAGGAGAAGTCAGCAGAGGTCCGGAATCAGGCAGGGTCAGCAACGAATCGGACAGGAACAGGAATGCAGGAACAAGATACAGGGCCCAGGAAAAACACACGCCAAGGCAGAGTCTGCAGGTCTGGCCATCCCTTAAATACACCAGCATAAGCAGTTTCAGGTGTTTGGCTGGCTGCAAGGTTGAGTCTCTGATTGCTGGGAGCACCCGCTGGCCAGCCCTGGTACTGCAGCCCATAAGGCAGGTGAGTCCCACCATTGCTGGCCAGTCCATTCATGACAGTACCCCCCCCCCCCCCTCAAGGAGCGGCCTCAGGACGCTCCAAACAGTCCTAGCTGGGCAGAATGTTCCACCGCTCAGGTCTGGTAACTGGCGGGATATCAAAGACTGGCACACCGGGGCAGGACTCCGGGCAGCGGCACACCGGCAGAGGAACTCCGGGCAGCGGCACATCCGGCTGGACTCCGGGCAGCGGCACATCCGGCTGGACTCCGGGCAGCGGCACATCCGGCTGGACTCCGGGCAGCGGCACATCCGGCTGGACTCCGGGCAGCGGCACATCGGATCACCAGGCGAAGCGGCAGGCACCGGGCCCCCAGGCGGGGCGGCAGGCACCGGGCCCCCAGGCGGGGCGGCAGGCACCGGGCCCCCAGGCGGGGCGAAAGGCATCGGGCCCCCAGGCGGGGGCGACAGGCCTCGGGCCCCCAGGCGGAGTGGCAGGCGCCAGACCCCCAGGCGGAGCGACAGGTCTCGGGCCCCCAGGCGGAGCGGCGGGCGCCGGACCCCCAGGCGGAGCGACAGGTCTCGGGCCCCCAGGCGGAGCGGCGGGCACCGGACCCCCCAGGAGGAGCGACAGGCACCGAGTCACCAGGCACGACAGTGGGCTCCGAGTCAACTGGCATGACCGCTGGCACTGGGTCAGACATTGGATCGTCTGGCTGGACAGCGGGCATCGGGTCACCAGGCATCAGGTCATTTGGCTCGACAGCGGGCACCGCGTCATCTGGCAAGGCAGTGGGCTCCGAGTCAACTGGCATGACCACGGGCACTGGGTCAGACATTGAATCGCCTGGCTGGACAGCGGGCATCGGGTCACCAGGCATCAGGTCATTTGGCTCGACAGCAGGCACCACGTCATCTGGCAAGGCAGTGGGCTCCGAGTCAACTGGCATGACCACGGGCACTGGGTCAGACATTGGATCGTCTGGCTGGACAGCGGGCATCGGGTCACCAGGCATCAGGTCATTTGGCTCGACAGCGGGCACCGCGTCATCTGGCAAGGCAGTGGGCTCCGAGTCAACTGGCATGACCGCGGGCACTGGGTCACACATTGGATCGTCTGGCTGGACAGCGGGCATTGGGTCACCAGGCATCAGGTCATTTGGCTCGACAGCGGGCACCACGTCATCTGGCAAGGCAGTGGGCTCCGAGTCAACTGGCATGACCACGGGCACTGGGTCAGACATTGGATCGTCTGGCTGGACAGCGGGCATCGGGTCACCAGGCATCAGGTCATTTGGCTCGACAGCGGGCACCGCGTCATCTGGCAAGGCAGTGGGCTCTGAGTCAACTGGCATGACCGCGGGCACTGGGTCACACATTGGATTGTCTGGCTGGACAGCGGGCATCGGGTCACCAGGCATCAGGTCATTTGGCTCAACAGCGGGCACCGCGTCATCTGGCAAGGCAGTGGGCACCAAGTCACCAGGCACGACAGTGGGCTCTGAGTCAATTGGCACGACAGCGGGCACCGGGTCATCAGGTACCGGATTGTCTGGCTCGACAGTGGGCATCGGTTCACCAGGTATGACAGCGGGCACTGGGTCACCAGGCATCAGGTCATTTGGCTTGCCAGCGGGCACCGCGTCATCTGGCAAGGCAGTGGGCACCGAGTCACCAGGCACAACAGCGGGCTCTGAGTCAATTGGCACGACAGCGGGCACCGGATCAGGTACCGGATCGTCTGGCTCGACAGCAGGCACCGGGTCATCTGGCGCCGGATCGTCTGGATCAACAGCGGGCATCGAGTCAACTGGCCTAATAGGATCATCAGGCTGGGTAGAAACATCATGCTGGGTAGAGGCATCAGGCCGAGTGGAGGCATCAGGCCGAGTGGAGGCATCAGGCCGAGTGGAGGCATCAGGCCGGGTACAGGCATCAGGCCGGGTACAGGCATCAGGCTGAAGTGCGGGTGCCGAGGCACCAGGCTGAACCACGGAAGGCAGGTTCTCAGACAGCAGGCTCACCGGTTTGGATACTGGCATGATGGTATTGGTTGGAAAGAATTTTCGCTTTTTTCTGGTTTTAACTACTGGAGCACTGTAAGTAAACGCAGGTCTGCAAACGAATGGAGCAGCTGGAGACAGAGAAGAGCTGGAGGATGGAACAGGGGAGGGAACAGTTGCTACAGAGGGATTTTTTACAGGGTTAAAGGGGCAGGATAGGTGCAGTGAGTGGGAACAGGGTACTGACATGCGGTAGATAGCAGGGCAGGAGGAGCTGTTGGGAATGCAGGAATAGAGCTTTGAGGAAATAGATTAGAAGCAGGACTGGGTTTTTGTAAGCTGACTGAGGCTGGGTGCAACAAATCTGTCCATGTCTGCAGTATGGGTTGAACAAAGCTGAGCTTACACAAAGCCTGTCTGGTCAATGACTGCACTGCGTTTATACAATCTCTTAGTATCTGGTGGTGAACATGCAGAATAACGCTCCAGAAAGTAATTCACATCATCCTCTAATAACCATACCAGGGGACTCTACCTGGTCGGCACTAAATGGCGGCAAAAATTCATCACTGCATTCGGGGGTTACCAGATGAAACCAACTCCGCACAAACCTGAATCAAAGGTTGCACCTCAGAGAACTCTGTGCCCTGATCTACTAGAACATGAGCGAGCCGTATACATTCTAGCAGTTGATCCCGGGGATACTCCTTCAGAGTTTGATAAGCATACTCTCTGTCATCAAACACTAGCAGATATAAATACACAACCTCATCAAGATCCATCTTTCCCAGCAACAAGCCAAGATGGCTTCCCTGTGCAGCCACTTCTGGTCAGGATTGGCCTTGGTGTAATGTCAGGGCTCCGGGTATGACCAGAGGTGTGTGACTGACGCAGGGAAACGCAGGCTTCAGATATGTTATAAACAATAAGACAATTTATTAAAGACTAACAATACAAACATAAACGCAGTGCAAATACTAAAACATAACACAGTGCAAACGAACCAAACCAAACCACCCACAGATAACAATATATACAATGCAAGCGTCGTCAGGCAGGCTGGGTCAATAACAATCGGGCAGGTAGGAACAGGGGGTCAGGCAGAGAATGGTCGGGGTCACAAGCCAGGGATGAAACAGGAGAAGTCAGCAGAGGTCCGGAATCAGGCAGGGTCAGCAACGAATCGGACAGGAACAGGAACAGGAATGCAGGAACAAGATACAGGGCCCAGGAAAAACACACACCAAGGCAGAGTCTGCAGGTCTGGCCATCCCTTAAATACACCAGCATAAGCAGTTTCAGGTGTTTGGCTGGCTGCAAGGTTGAGTCTCTGATTGCTGGGAGCACCCGCTGGCCAGCCCTGGTACTGCAGCCCATAAGGCAGGTGAGTCCCCATCATTGCTGGCCAGTCCATTCCTGACACATTCTGCCTGTGTACCTAGAAGAATTGAAGCTGCTTTACAGTCAAAGGGTAGTCACACCAAATATTATTTGAGTTAGATTCTTCTTCTGTTCACTCACTTTGCATTTTGTAAATTGATAAAAAATAAACATTTAAAATCTATACAGTATTTTTTGAAAAGCATTTTTGCTTTACAGCATTTCTTCACACCAACTTATAACTTGCACAGTACTGTATATATGCAGCTATTTTTTAGATAAGCAGTTTTTTATGGATGTTGTAATTTATATTATTTATTTTACATACATATTTTAATAATCATGAACTATTCTGGTTTCTCCTCCCATACACTGAAAAGACAAATTGTATCCAATGTGATTTTGTGGCTTCTGTCAGTATGTCATGGATTAACCATTTAGGAGGTTGCCCTGTGACATGCAGACAGGCTTGAAAAAGGGGGACATGCCCTCCCAACATGTAGCCACATCCACTGGACAGTTGTAGCAACCCTGTGAGCCCAGTAACAGCAGACTCTGACATGCAGCTGGGCCCCAAAGTGAAGCTGAAATGTTTGTCCTCATTCAGCCTGTAAGCCTGCAGTGAGAGATTCAGACTTCATGCTAAATAACCACTGGACATCGCTGGCCATGATGTGAGCATTTCTAGAACCTCAGCAAGATGAAGCTGCATTCAAGACTCTTGTAGTCTATGATTATATGTGAGTGCAACCATTGCTGATTTTAACACTTTAATCGTTAAAGGTTTAACTGCGAAAGATAAGCAGTTCCTTTTTTGCTTGTCTTTTATATTGATTAATGATACTTGTGTACACCAAAATTATATGGATAGCTATCCATCACACCTTTATAAGGTTGTTGGATATAACATTTCAAAACCATTGACATTAATATGGAATTGCTCCCACTTGGGCATTAATATGGAGATGAGGTCTCAAAAAGGTGCAACAACGAGCAGGGGAGATGTGTAAAACACAAGCAGGACTTTTCAATGCTTCCTGCAGGACACTTTGCCACATACACAAACCCCCCCCCCCACCTTTGTTTCAAGCCCAGGGTTGGAACACCTGTGGCCCTGGAAGAGTGGACAGGACATCTACATTTCCCATCTTAGTAACCGGTCAATGTTGTATCTTAAAATAATAATCTTACAGAGTTAAAAACCACTGGTCTACATGAGTAAATGTGCTAAAATGGTGCCCTAACAAAGATTATGTTAGTGTGTCCAATGCTCACTTTTTAGCTAAACACTCCTCAACCACTGCATATTTCTTATTGTGTTTTTTTTTTCTGCTCAGGCACACAATAGGATGCTCCCCATCCCATTGTAATGGACAATCTCCTGACAGGTCCAGATTTTTGTCCTAAGTTCTATTCCCAAGTGGGTGCAATCAGCCAGACACACAACAGTTTCCCAGTGAGCCTTGGAATACCCCAAATTTAGTGCAAACTGAAACAGAGACAATCTCTGGTAGTAGCTAAAACTCTCCTGAATGAACCTCCTGTGAGAGGTTGAAGTGGACATATAGCCCAGGGGACTCCCACTTTAGAAGTAGCCCTAAACCAGCACTTTGGAACAGTCTCTTAAAGGGTCAGGCCTCTACTCACTGTGTTTCTGTGTACATGGATATCTCCCTCCAGGACCAGCCAGACCCTGTATTGTGAGCCTCCAGGCCATATTCTCAGCAGACTTTCATCAAACTGCGTTCAGCAGTTTTAGAAGTAGGCCCCCGAGGTCTCACTGAGCTGGGACCTTGCTGAAACTCCTGCAGTCCTCAGCCAATCTGCCCAGAAGGGCAGCACCCTTCAGGCTCTCTTTTCCTCCAGGACAAGGACCCTGCTGTTCCAGGCCCAAGACTTTTTATACACACCTCAGCCCTCCTGCTGGTCATTCCCTTGACCAGGGGTTTGGATGAGGCTGTATGAATATTCAGCCCAGCATCTACCTTTTCCAGCCGACTTATATCCAGAATCCTATTAAAAGACAGCTAGCTCAAGTAGTTGAGCCTGCAAGCAGCAGGACCCCAGAACAACCAAAATCAATCAAACTCTGCTCCATGGCTACAGAGGAGCCAAAAAAACCCAAATGTACCCAATTCTTCTAGCAAC